ACTAGTTTTTAATGCAATTATTACAATTTTAAACCATTTTAATTTTTGGTGCACGTAATACCATTTTAATATTTAGTGCGTTAAAAATTGGGGTCCCAAATTATTTTATTTTTCAACCACAAACAGTTGGAATCATGGTAAACGTTCGGTGAGTCACTGTCTGTCATATATATATATATATTGGTACACAGTGACTGTCATATTATCTTATTATTATTATTATTTTTTGGCTTCTGTAAGTCGGTGACTGTCACATTCTCACTTCATCGTATTGTCCCCTATTTTTTTTAAGTAGCTTCTCCTTTCAAGCCCTTTGATAATAATAAATAATAATCATGATAAAAACTTGATAACTACCCACAATTGAATAGTTTTTCAATATAAGGATTTAGTTATGAGCTTCTTTCATGGCTTTTGAGTCTCCTAACTAAAAGATAATTAAATTTAAAATAACATTAGTTGCATTTTTTAACTAAGATTTCCCTCCATGAGGCAGAGAGAGAAATATTTAGTGACTATTTGGTTAGAGCTATAAATATACAGAAGTATGTTCTATATGTATTAAATTTTAAGGTTCTCAAAATTAATTTTGAGAAAAGTAAAATATTTTAAATTTTTCGATGAACATAATTGAGTTTAGTTGTGAGATTTACAAAAATTTTAAAAACGTCTATATTTACACTTTAAATATTATTTTATTCTACTATTTAAACAAAACATTTTTTCTAAATTTACTTAAAACTATCTTTTTCAAATACAAATCAATATTTTTAGTAGAGTAAAATCATTTTTGGGTCCCTAACAAAAAATTGATCCCCACTTTAGTCCTTTATATAAAAAAAGTTACGAAGTCTCTAAGAAATTCAAAGTGGACCCATTTAGTTAAAATCGTAGTTCCTCATAAATTCAAAAAAAATTCACATTAGTCCCTCAAAAGAACTAAAATGGGTTCATTTTGAATTTCTTAAGAACCAGACGACTATGGGTGATAAACGAGCCAGGTGCCTTTGGCTTGGCTCGTGAAGGCTTGAGCTTACATGCCTAATATTGGTTGTTGGAACAAGGCTTGGACTTGTATAAAAGCTCGTTTAGTAAAAATGCCTCAAGCTCCAATTCAAAAGTTCGGTCATAGAGCCTCTCAGGCTGGCCTAGTATATTAATTTTATTTTTATTTTTATTTTTTATACTATTTGTAATAGCCCTCTTCTCCTCTCAATCTATTTCACCCCTATTTTATTAGTTAAACAATTTTTTTGAATGATTTTGTTTTATATTATGTTGTTTGGATATACATTGAATTTACGAATATTTAGAGAATTACTAGTCTTGTTGATTGTATATTCTGTTTGGATAAATTTTAGTTGTCTTATTTTTTTTAATAGGCTAACAGGCTAAATCAGGCTTTTATTTTTTGTAAATAAGGCAGGCCACAGGTCGATAATATATTCATAACAGGTAACAGGCTTGGTAAGGTCGACACATTTAAACACATGCTTAGCCTTTTAAGACTATAGCTCGGCTCGGCTCGACCCGTTAACACCCCTACAGACGACTAATTTTTTTTGTAAGGGATAAAGTGAGAATCGTAATTTTTATTAAGGATCCAAAAGAGGCTTTATTCTTTTTAATATTAATTCATTCAAAAATCAATTCTACTAAACATTATACAAACCTTAAGAAGGGGAAAACAGAGATAAATATATATAAAAAATAATAAATCTTTATCTTTATTCTAGTAGAGTTTTTGTCATTTTTTTTGTGGTAAATAAGAAAGGGCTAAAACACCCCAGAGTTTTTGTCATTAATTTAGTTTAATTTAGGCACTCTATAAAACTAAAGTAATAATGTTTATATTTTCGGAGATGTTTATTTAAAACATACTTATTCGTTATATACATTAAATGGACAGAAAATAATAGCTGAAAAAAGAATTAAATTTTCTTAATCTTATAACTGAATTAAAAGATTTCTGCTTATATATATATATATATATATATATATATATATATATATTTTCAGCTATTTGAAATAAACTTATCTTAAGTTACCCTTTTTAAAAACTTATCTGCTGACATGGAGAGAACGAAAAAAATAACTTTAACATTATAACTATGTACTATCTTGAAATATATAGTTAAAAGGGATAACTTGAGATAAGTTTATTTCAAGTGGCTGAAGAAATATTTTTCATAATATATATATATATATATATATATATATATATATATATATATATATATATATATATATATATATATATGGGTCCATGTTTTCTTATGTTGCATGAAAACATGAGATAACAAAAGTAGAGACAAATTACATGTGGGTCCCATATTTTATATTAGAAAAGAAAAAAATAATTAATTGGCACTGAAAACGAATTAGTGTAGGAAAACTTTTTGCTCTCCTATTGCATAAGAGTATGATTTCCCATATATATATATATATAGGGAAAAGTATTTCTACAGCCACTTTAGATAAGGTTATCTACAGCTATTCCTTTTTAACTAAGTATGACCGGTCATACTTAGTTATAACAATAAAGCTGTTCTTTTTTTTTTTCTTTCTTCAGACACTGTCGGCTGATGTTGCGGAGAGAGAAAATACAATTTTAAAGTATGACCGGTCATACTTAGTGAAAAAGGGGTAACTGTAGACAACCTTATTTAAAGTGGTTGCAGAAATATTTTCCCCATATATATATATTGGCTTTAATATTTTTATAGATAAGTTATCTATATTCATGCTCAAAACGACATCGTTTTGGGTTGAAAAATTAAAAAATTATAATGAGAAAGACTATTATTTATAATTACAAGAATGCCTTGATTTCTTCCCAAAACGACTCAATGTAAATAACTTATCTATATTGACTACAGAAAAAAAACCTTGTATATATTCCGAACCGATATAATGGGTCTTACATGCTCTAAGAAATATTAGATTTTATTCACTAAAGATAAATTCTTTCTATAATATAGGAGTCTATCCAACCTTCTTGACAGAACTACGAGGGATTTTGAAGGCCTGGAGGTTGCTTGGAATAAGGGGTGGAGGCAAAACATTTTTAAAAGTGATGCAAGCAATGTCATTGCTATGCTCACTAGGCAAGGTGATGCAGCTAGGGGTGAAACTGGGCCGGGCCGGTCTACAGGGGCCTACAGCCTGGCCCATCACTGGCCTGGCTTGGCCCAGCCTTGTTAGTTAACAGATTGGGCTTAGGCTGTTTTAAAAGTTTGTTTACTAATTGGGTCGGAATCTTAATATAATGAGCCTGGCTCGTGAGCCTCCAAGCTAACCCAATTATTCATCCTCGTTTTTTTATCACCGGTTCCATACCAATTGCGATAGCCCAAGGTCATAGACTCACGCTATACTTTATTGCATATAAAGAGTATCTTCACTATTCTCTAGGGACTAGGGCACAGCCGCACAGGTTGCTATCTGAGTCTATGAAATCGATCTCGTGGAATTAGACTCCATCCACAAGGTTTGATTCGTTTGTCTTGATATACGCCAATGCCATCCATACGCTTTATTATTTGATAGAAAATATTATTGTTGATTTTTTTATTAGTTCAACCATTTATTATTATCCTTGTTCTTTGATACTATCCTTGTTACTGGAGACTTTTTTGTTATTTTTTTATATAGGTTTAATTTGTCGTCGATTGTTTACATTAGTACAAGTTGTTATGTTTTACTGTACAAATAAATTTATCTGTTCTTATGTTTTGTTAATAACAACGTGACAAATTGTATATATATATTTGTTGTACTGTACAACTCAACCATATATATATATATATATATGTTGTACTGTACCGGAGACATTTTCTAAATTAACAAATCAGTTTTTGTCATGTACTGTACATCACAATCACATTCTGTATGTAAATTGTGATACTCATATTCTCTCTCTCTTCCAATGCTGTCATCGTCATCCTCTAACTGTCTCAATCCTTCAAACCCCCATTTTCTTCTTCTTCTCTCCTAATTACAATTAAATAAACCCCAACCCTTATTCTCACTCTCTGACTCACTCACTATCACCCGAAGTACAATTGTGTACACAACACAATACAAGAAAATCAGTACACAATTCCAATGGATCCTCCTCTCATCAACGATTCCACCATTTATTATATCGCTATATATATTTATATTCGTTATTTGTTGTTAATTATTATTTAATAATTAATTTAAATATGTTAATGTCATTCCCATTTATCATTTAGTAAGTTTTTGAATTCACGTTCATAAAAAAAAAAGTTTTTGAATTCACTAATTCTTTATGTAATTTACTTGTATTTTATTATTTATGTCGTTTGTTAATATTATACTACTGTTTATGTTATTTAATTATTATGTTCAATTTTTTGTTAACTATTTCTAGTAGTTTAGTCAATTTTTTATAGAGTAAAGCCCGTTTTTGGGTTTCAAACAAAAAACACGGTTCTCACTTTAGTTCTTTACAAAAAAAAATAGTCCTGAGATCCCTAAGAAATTCAAAGTAGACTCATTTAGTTGAAATAGTGATCCTACACAAATTCAAAAAAGATTCAAATTAGTCCATCAAAAGGACTAAAATGAGTCTGCTTTAAATTTCATAGAGACCAGACGACTATATTTTTTTGTAAGAGACTAAAGTAAGAACCGTATTTTTTGTTAGGGACCCAAAATGAGTTTTACTTCTTTTTTTTTATATTTGTTAAGTTGATAGTTAAAGGCTGAGCTAAAGGCGGAAGCATACGCATATTCTCTTTCACATTATTATATAGCTAATAATATTTGTGGACGCCATTTGCAGGGTACATTTACGGTTTCTAACTTGGGAGGCATTTGCAGTCAAACAATTTTGTGCCATCATCAACCCTGTTCAATTAGCCATTCTTGTTGTTGAATCTGGTGAGAACAATGCTAGTTTTTTAATATATACATTGCAAGATTTGAATATAGAATTTTGATATAACATCAAATGCATTTTCATTTTCAAACAGATGGCTTCTAATCAAGATGGAAGCAATGAACCAGTCCCACAAGGTGAAGAATCTGAAGATCCAAGCTTGGTGAAAAAGAGGCGAAAAACTTCTGTAGTTTGGAATGATTTTCATGAAATGGACATTCCTAATGTTGGGCGTAAAGCAGTTTGTAACTACTGCAAACAAAAATTTGCAACTGGGGGAATTGGAGGTAGCACTAGTCATCTAAGGAGGCATTCACAAAATTGCTTGAATAGGAAATTGGACCAATCCGTGAAGAAGCAGACCACTTTATCATTCCAGCCTACAGGTTCTACTTTGAATCCTTTTCTTGCACCCGGGGGGATGTACACCAATGAAAAGATGAGAGAAATTATTGCTACTGCAATTATGATTCACGAGTATCCTTTCAGTATTGTGGAGGACGATGTTTGGATGTGGGCCTTTAAGTTTGCGAATGCTGAATTTGAAAAAGTTTCGCGTATTACTGCAAGAAAAGATTGTATTGCATTATATGAGGCAGAAAAGAAAAGTCTAAAGGCTTTATTGATGGGTGTGAAAAAGATCAGTATAACCACTGATATGTGGAAGTCTAGTCACCAAATAGCTGAATATATGGTCATCACTGGCCATTTTATTAATTCAGAATGGAAATTGCAAAAGCGAGTGTTGAGTTTTGTTAAGGTTCCACCTCCAAGGCGTGGAGTTGAAGTCGCTGATGCAATTTTTAAATGTCTGCAATTATGGGGAATTGAAAATAAGATATTTTCAGTATCTGTGGACAATGCAGCCTATAATGATGTTTGTATAAGAAATTTGAAAAGCACATTAGCAAGAAACACTAATTTAGTCCTTGGTGGACAACTATTTCATGTGAGATGTTGTGCTCATATATTGAATTTGCTAGTGCAACATGGTCTTAGTCAGATCAAAGGTATCATTGAAAATGTTCGTGAAAGTGTCAAATATGTTAATCATTCTGACTCAAGATTGAAGACTTTTTGTGATATTGTCAAGAAGATGGGTGTAAAAGAAAGGAAACTAGTTGTTGATTGTCCCACCAGATGGAATTCAACATATGAAATGTTGTCTGTTGCTTCTAAATTTAAAGATGTTTTTCCAGAATATAAGGAGTGGGAGCCACATTATAATTATTTGCCATCAACTGAATATTGGGAAAAGGTTGAAAAGGTATGCCATCTTTTAGAAGTTTTCACTCATGCTACTAATGTTATGTCAGGTACTCAATATCCTACAGCAAATTTATACCTTCCTGAAGTGTTTAGGGTGAAACAAGTGATTGATGCTGCAGCTGAAGACAATTATGATTTTATGAGAGGAATGACAAGGTTTATGAAAGATAAATTTGATAAATATTGGGGGGAATGCAATATGTTGATGGCCGTTGCTAGTGTTTTAGACCCACGATGTAAATTCCATGTGGTGAAAATTTGCTTTCCACTTATATACAAATCAGAATAAATTTAACATGGATAAGGTGAGTGAAGCTTTAGAAGCTTTATATAATGAATATTCAACTTTATGTTTGCAAGAGTCATCCTCTGATAGTCAGGTGGGATCTAGGATGAACATATCCTCTTCTACTCTCTTTACTCAAGTTCCACGTGGCTCTACCTCTGGGTTTGACCAAATCATGAGCATTGTGCATGAACATGAATCTATTCCCGCAGCAAAGTCAGAGTTGAAGTTATATCTTGAAGAAAGTGTTTATGAATATCATGAAAAATCTCATCTTTCATTTGATGCTTTGGAATGGTGGAGGAGTAATAGCTTAAAGTATAAAATTTTATTACAAATGGCAAGAGACATACTAGCTGTACCAATCTCTACAGTAGCATCAGAATCAACATTTAGTGCTGGAGGAAGAGTTATTGATGTGTATCGTTCTAGCTTGGCTGAAGATACCATCCAAGCTTTAATATGTGGAGGAGATTGGCTACGTAATAGGTATAACTTGAAGAAAAAACAAAAAGTATAAATTTAATCAATTAAAATTATTATATAATTTAATTATATTCAATTAAATTTTAATAGAAATTTGACTTTATTTTTTATGTAGGAGGAACCAACATCTCAGCATGTGATATTGCCTATATGAATCTATTAAAAGGTTTTTTATTTCTTAATCCTATTTTTTTGTTTCTATTCTTTATTCTTTTTTTTTTCTACATTTACAAATTATTTGCCAACTTATGTAATATTGGAATTGTATTTGTAGGGGAGAGAAGATCAAGAGAAGTTTTTGGCTAATACAAGAATCATGATGTGTTTGTTGAATTCATATAGTTATTTTAATTTACATAGTATAGATTTGTTTGTTGGATCTGATGAAATATATTTTATTTAGTTTGAGCATTTTGCTTTAGAAAGTGACTTAAATGCAGATTATGATGAGTTTTGTTGTGTTCATGGTTTTGTTTGGACATTAAAATTGTTATTTTTGTTTTAGCAACAGAATTTGAATATTTTGTGAAGTTGATTTATGATTCTGCTTGAAAGTTAAAAATTAACAGGCTAATGGGCCAAGCCGGGCTTTTTGTTTTTTTATAAACGGGTCAAGCCAAGCTAACATTTAGACTCGTGTTAGGCTTGGGCCGGGCTAAATTAATTTTTTTTTAAATAGGCTTGGGCTTTTCGAAGCAAAGCTCGGCCCAGCCCAGCCCACTTTCACCCCTAGATGCAGCTCGCGAGTCTCTCTTAATAACTCGAGTTGGAGTATGGTTGTAAAGAGATTGGAATATTAAACTAGTTCATACATATCGTGAAGGTAACTCATATGCAAATTGACTTGCTAACTTTGGATTAGATCATGGACGACCATTGTCTCTAATGTGGTAAGAAGATATTGTCCCATATATATATATATATATATATATATATATATATATATATATATATATATATATATATATATATATATATATATATATATATATATATATATATATATATATATATATATATATATAAATCATTTCTACAGTCACTTTACGTACAACAATGACAGATGTATAGTTATGATTCCTCATATTTAATGCTTTCACCTTTTGTATAGTTATGATTTTTCACATTTAATGCTTTCACGTATATATATGACAAGTATTTGACTGCTGCACGTACAGCAGCTGCAGAAATATAAACCCTATATATATATATATATATATATAAAATAAAATCACATCTAAAATTGTTGTACAAGCAATAATAACAGATGTATGATTATGATTCCCTACTTTCATGCTTTCACCTTTTGTATGGTTATGATCCCCACATTAAATACTTTAATTTGTATATATGGATAATTTATTGCTGCTGCCCGTAAAACGGTTGCAAAAAAATCGAACCATATATATATATATATATGGATAGGATATAGTTACAACCTTTTTTTTACAACCATATATCATAATTGTTGATTTTCGTCAATCAAAGGTTATGATTTTCGCAAATTAAACTCATTAATTAATTATTAATTCATAATAAACGACAACCGTTGATTGGCAAAAATCAACGGTTATGATATATGGTTGTAAGAGGTTGTAAAAAAAAGGTTGTAAGTATAACCTTCCTTATATATATATATATATATATATATATATATATATATATATATATATAGTAAATGTTTTCACCTTTTGTATAGTTATGATTCTTCATATTAAATATTTTAACCTATATATATATATATATATATATATATATATATATATATGTGATAGGATCAACTTACACCGGTGTAAGAATAATAAATCTTACATCAAATCTTAACCGTTGATTTTTGTGCATCCAATGGTTGAGATTTATTGGAAATTAAAAATTAATTAATGAGTGAGACCTAATAAATCTTAACCGTTAGATGTAAAAAATCAATGGTTAAGATTTGGTGTAAGATTTATTATTCTTACACCGGTGTGAGATGATCCTGCCCCTATATATATATATATATATATATATATATAATTTATGATTACTGCATGTAATGTAGAGCGGTTGTGAAAAAATCGAACCATATATTATTTATTTTAAATCCAAACCTCTTTTACTGTATACACATATAACTGGTTTGACTTCAAGGCTATCTTAGGCATAATAATTTGCCTCCATTCATAATTATCTCCTCCATTCATAATTATCTCCTCCATTCATACATACTCTGGGTCTTTAAATCCCATAATAACCATATTTTTCTCGGATGGAACAATACAGAGAGAGATAACGTAAAATAACTAAATAAGTATCTTTGAAGGATAATAGCCTAACGACTATTATCTTGAATAGTCCTAATATAATGGCGCGACCTATCGTGCTTGTTATTGAAGCATTTTGAATTTGCTGTTTAAAACATTATTAATAACATCTGAGTTCTTTTGTTGAGGAAGTAAACTTCGAAATGATGAGATTGATGTATGATGACCTTATTAATAATAATCATGAGACAACAGCAACAAACCTCTTATTTTAGATTAAAAGAACCAATGAATTTGCTTGGTGTGATAAGAATGATTAAGCTAAATAAACACTTAGAGAAATACAGGAAGCAATATCATTGAAATAATCAAAGCAAGCAATAATCACGATTAACAGCATTATTTTATTTCAGATGGATTAAAAAAATAAAACAAAAATAACGAATTATCTGATGAAAACAAATGGGCCATTGCCCATTGAACTTATTATGAGTCAATGTATACAGCATACACGTGAACGTTAAGGTTAAAGCCATGTCGAAAAAGATAAATTGGTAAGTTTCGTGACATAAAAAAAATGTGTATATTATTATTACTTGTAAAAAATAATTTTATCTTTTATATATACATAAAAGTATATGAGATATATATATATTTGTTTTTACATAAGTTCTACATATTTTTATGTACGTGTAAGAAATAAAATTATTTTTTACAATATAAAAAATATTAATCTCATATTATTACTATTATTAAATTGAAAAATGAAATGGTGCGAATGAGCATCCAAATTCCAAGACCAAAAAGTCAAAGACATGTCGATAATAGAGAAAAGGAAAGGTAATGGTGGGTTGTGTTTGTCTATGGCTGAGGTGATGGTGATGGATGGATAGGTCAAGAGACAGAGAAGAAGAAACGAAAAAAAAAAAATAGAGAGGAGAATGGGGTTTATGTCGTGGGGTTGTGGAGCCCACAAGCTTAATTGAATGAATGTTTTCTTTCACATTCACCAATTCACCATTTAGATATTCACATAAAATGGGGACTCAGACTTGTCACCCTCTCCTACACTCTTTTCCCCATTGGCCAAAGACTTGCTTTTTCAATGTCTATGTACGAGAGATAAAGAAACCACTAGATTTTTTTATTTTAAACATTATAATTTTTTTGTTCATATATCATTTGACATCTATATAGTTTTTACTATTGAATCATTCCACATCAATATGAAGTAATAACATGTCTTATAGAGAATTTTTTTTATAGATAAGAAAGTTTTAGATCAAGAAAAGACACATCTTTATGTAAGATGTGGAAGATCATCAATTCATTGAAGATTTAAGGTAAAATTATGAGTAAATACTTTTTTTGGTCCTCAGCAAATTTTACGATGTCCGCTTTAGTCTCTGGCAAATAAAAATGTCCATTGTAATTCCTAAGAAATTCAAAATGGACACATTTTAGTTCTTTTAGGGATTAATATGGGTCTTTTTTGAATTTGTGAGGGATCACGATTTCAATTAAATGGGTCTATTTTGAATTTTTTAGGGACCACAATAGACCTTTTTATTTGCTAGGGACTAAAGCGGACATCGTGAAATTTGTTGAGGACCAAAAAATATATTTACTCTAAAATTATATACCAAGGTGAGAATCTAACACAAAATACAATTACATTAGGAATCCAACCCAAAAAATAATATGAATGAAAAGTTCGACCAGTTATGTCAACTCTCGTTGCCAGTGAATTATTAGACTAATAACTTACATAATTATGTTATTCACATGTATTTACGTAAAAGTAATTTTATATTACATATTTTTGGATATATTCACTAGTTTATTGATGATCTAACTCAAAATCTCTGATTTAGGAGAATAAGTTCCTTATCACTTGAATCAAGGGTTATTTTGGTTATATTATACATTTTTAACATTTCATTATAAGTTATTTTAATTATTTTTTATCAAAGAAATATATTGCAGTTACTGCAGATAAGTTATCTGCATTTATTTTTAAAATGACATTGTTTTGGAATTGAAAGATTAAAAAATTATAATTAAAAAGATTATAATAATTCCGAAATAAATTAAAATTATAAAAATATCATAATTTTCGTTCCAAAATAACATCGCATTGAACTTAGTGTACATAACTTATATCTTATATGCAAAAAACGAGAACTCATTTTTTATACATCCATATTATAATTTTATCTCCTCACAAGCTATGTAGCACCGATACGACACGTGACACCGCATTCGACACGTTGGGACACGTTTTAATATTAAATAATATTTTTAATTTATATAGTGTATATTTCATTTAATATTTAATAATTTAACAAAAAAATGAAACTAAATTAATAATACCCATCAACATGTTATAAAGATGGAAGCTTTAATAAAAAAAATAAGAAATGGGATGAGAGAGATATAATATCAGATAGAGAGATCAAATCATATTAGAGAGAGATCAGAGAGAAGAAGATACAACAAGAGCGTGATAGGAATTGACAACAATGATGCTGAGATGATCTCTTATCTACTTAAGGGAAAAAAGACAAAAAGATAAAATTGATATGATCAGGTGGAAAATTTATTAATATATTTTAACTTTTAAAAAAAAAATTTAAAAAAAAAATTAAATTTTTTTTTACGAAAATGTCATTTGACCGTGTCGGACTCGGTCAAATTCACGTGTCAAAATGGTCAACGTGTCGAAAAAATTTAACCACGTGTCTGACACCGTATCGGAGCGTGTTGGACCCGACTCTTTCTGTTTTTACAAGTGTCCGTGCTCCCTTGCTCACAAGTAATATAAAGAAAAGTAAGATGATTATTGGTGACGTGCCACGAGGATTATTATTTCTGCCCGCGTTTTGAAAGGTCTATCTCCCTCTGAAGCCGCGGTTTCAAAGACCAATTCCGATAAAAATGCTCAGTGTAGCCCAAATGGAATCCTCCAAAACGACGTAGCTTCACGCTCTTTTGTACACAAATGATTCGGTTCCTGTGCTTCTTCTCCTTGTAGCCCAACAAGCACCACTCCGTACAACGTTGGACAATGATCTTATAATATAATACTATTTTACTCTCTCTCTCTCTCTCCTGAAAATCCAACAAACACAGCATAAAGTTACGATTTTTCAGTAATTCTGAGATAGAATGAAAGACTTCAATTTTGCAAAGTTCTAAGATTCCCAGAGGAAAATTTGTCCCCCCCTTCTGCTTCTCTCCATTACCCTCTTTTTTTTTTTTTTTTTGGGTTTTTGGTCTTTTGCTGTTTGGATTCTAAGAAAAAACCAAGATAACCTAAAAGAAAGAAAAATTCGGCATCAAAACAAAAAGCAAAAACAAGAGCCTTCTCTCTCTCTCTCTCTCTCTCTCTAAACAAAAGCCTCAAAGTTCTGCAGCTGCTTTACGACCCCTCCACAACCCCACTACCTTGGTTACTTCATTTTCTATCGTTGTTGTTGTTTCCAAGAAGCCAAGTATTCACTTTTGGACTTCTCATTTCTTGTGTACATGAAAGTTCTACAATAATATTATCTGGGTATATGAGGATTCAGCTTCTCCTTCTTTGTTTGGTGATGGTGTTTGGTTAGAGGCCCTTCGTGTGGTGCTTGTGTTGTGTATCTCTCAGTTCAGCAATGGAGGACTCGGCTAAGGTTCGGCTTGTTCGGTGCCCCAAGTGTCAAAATCTTCTTCCCGAGCTCGCTGACTATTCTGTTTATCAATGTGGCGGTTGTGGTGCTGTTCTTCGAGGTACCCTTTCTTCATATTCCTCTCCTTCTTAAATTTAGCTTCACGTGTTGTTTGATTTGAAATGCTTCAGAATTGTTTATGTGTATTAACTGTTCAAGACTGTTTTTATGAGTCAAAATCATGGATCAAGATTTGCCTTTCCCTTTAGTTCACCTTTTTTATTTGGTATTTAATCAATCAATGTGTACAAGGTACGAACTTGCTGCAAAAGCTAAAGTACAGTACACATTTGGTATTTAGGTTTAGTGGAGTTAGGGTAGACAAAAGCTTGCAAAGGGGTTGGATATTCTGATTTCTTATTGTGGTTTCCACTTTGTTTTCATTAGCAGGAAAGCTTAAAGGTTATGGAAGTGGTAGCTTGTGGGAGGCGTCAGATGAGGGACATGGTGGAGGAGATCCTTCTAAATCAGGAAATTCCTTGGGGAAAGGGGTAGTTGATTCAGATGTTGATGTTCAGTCCAATGGTGGCTTCTCAAGGGAAGATCAAAGGGATTCAGAGAAGCCAAATAACAGGCATGAGAGGTTTCTGAATCGTTCCAAGGATGGTGATGAGAAAGTGGTTTTGGAGAATGGTTTTGGTGTTAATAAAAACAAAGATGAAAGGGGTAAATCAATAGGTAGAGAGGAGCAGGAACAGAAGTCTCACATGGGAGGGTCCAAATTCTTTGGGAGTATGTCTAATTGGCCAAATGGGGATAGAGGTGAGATGGAAGGGTTTAGGAGAAAGCCACCTGCTGATATGGAAGGTGGGAGATTTTCCACCTTGAATCATCCTGATGAGGGAACATCAAATAACTATTCCAGTTTTTCTTATAATTATGGCAATTTTAGAGACATGGATGGTGTGAGCAAAGTTCATCTCCTTGAACAAGATCGAGCTGAGCTGCTAAGGAAGCTGAATGAGTTATCAAACCAGCTGAACCATTCTTCTGAAGTGGTTAATAACCCAAACGAAAAGGTTCCTCCAGATCCTTATGGTGGCCCTGGGTTGGACAGGACCTCAAGGCAATTTGTTGGCCCTAATAAACATGTGGCAGGCCCCCCTTATTCCAATTATCCATATGCTTATACAAATGGTAATGAAATGGCCATGCTCAACTTCCACCCTTCAATGCATAATCCAAATTATATTCCTGGATACGGGGATCCTTTTGTATCCCAAATGATGAGAGGTCCACATCCCTTAGTCCATCAGTTCCCACAACAACCAATGCATCCCTACTTTCCTGGACACTATGTTGATACTAGTACAGATTCATATGAACCATATGCACATAATGCAATGCTTCACCCGCCTTCTTGCTCTTGTTTTCGTTGCTATGACAACAAACGAAGAGGTTCAGTGCCAGCGCCATCTGCTGCATTCATTAACAGCAGATTCCCTGATACCCCAAATGATCATATGTTATACCGTCATGAAATCCCAGGGGCATCTGGTCCACATGTTCATAACACTAGAACTGCCATTCCTGCTGCTAGTTTTCATGAAAAACAATTACAAACAAGATGGCCTAATGACTTAAATTCTGAGATGGGTGGGTTTGTCAGAAGCCGTCCTAGGAAAGTAATGACAGCTAGTGCTAGTAGGCATTGCCATCCTATAGCTGGTGGTTCTCCTTTCATCACATGTTGTAATTGCTTTGAGTTACTGCAACTACCTAAAAAGGCACTTGTTATGGTGAAGAAAAACCATCAGCAGAAAGTGCGATGCGGGGCTTGTTCTTTAGAAATAAGTTTTGCTATCATCAATAAGAAGCTAGTTATTTCTCCTCATTCAGAAATGAAGGAAACCACTACAAGGATTGATGATACCTCTAATGAGGTTGTGAATAGCGGTGTGTCACATTCCCATGCTCATGTGAACACAAGTGGTGTTAACTTCTCATCTGATGATTATTCTGGTTATGATTTTCACTCTGTAGATAGAGAATCTCCTGTGCTGGCTGCAGAGCCAAGCTTAAACTCTAGCAAGCCTCAAGAGATGCAAAGCTTCCATTCTTCATCTCCTAGTACCTCTGAAGATGAAAATAGTCCAGAAGTTATGATAGCACCAAGTGAAGCCACAAAGTCCATTCATCAGCCAACTAAAGCCTCTCTGTCTCCTCCACCTGCTGGCTCACCTCTTCAAGAGTATTTTGATTATTCGGGTAATAACCATGCAGTAAATCGGTTTGGGAAAGGCAACCGAAGTAGTCGATCAGAACAAGAGAAGGCAAAAATAGAAAAGAATACCTCAAGGCAAAATTCTTTGAAAGAGGTAGTGCTTGCAACTGAGATGGATGTCCATGATTATTCTAACATTGGGGTCTCTCAGGATTCTGGTGATGCAAGCCGAGAACATGATCCTAGATCTAGCAAAGGGGGTGAATCCTTTTTTTCCAACTTTATCAAGAAAGGCCTCCGGTTCCGGGATTCCTCCCAATCCAGTCAAATAGATGAACATGGCAATAGTAATGTTAGTGTAAATGGACAACCTATATCAGACTGTGTGATTAAGAAGGCTGAAAAGCTAGCTGGACCAATTCAGCCAGGAAATTACTGGTTTGTATGCTTTACAGTCAACTGAAATGTTTCATTTGTAATTGTTGCTATATCAGCTTATATCAAAGGTCTCCAATGAAAAATAAATGCTATCATTGATCAAAATCAATTTTTCCATGAAATGAAAAAAAGGAGCAAAATCAGTGGTGAAGCTTTAGAAAATGGGTCCTATGCTTCTCTATGGACCAAAGCTTTCTAAAATTGCCTGTCTGATAAAAATTTGTCAAATTATTTTATGTAGTAGACTCACTTTAGTTCTTATCACCTGCAATATGTTCATTGACAAAATAACATATTAAATTTGATAAGTTCAGATGTCCTTTGCAAAATATCATTTCTGGATGAGTTGTGACAACTTAGAGAAGAAAATCATAAATTTTTTATTGATTGCTTATGTAGTGTAGTAATTGATTTGCCTTTATATTTTTGCTTCATTAGGTATGATTTTCGGGCTGGATTTTGGGGTGTCATGGGTGGACCATGTCTTGGAATAATTCCAGTAAGTTATACTACTCTGGCACACTCCACCGGTCATATGCTTATAGTCTGATCAATATAAATGAATGAATAAGTTGATTTCTCTTGCAGCCATTCATAGAAGAATTCAATTATCCCATGCCAGATAAATGTGCTGGTGGAAATACTGGTGTTTTTGTTAATGGTAGAGAACTTCACCAAAAAGATTTAGATTTGCTTTCACGTAGAGGACTTCCTCATGATAATGATAGATCATATATCGTTGAAATTTCTGGGAGAGTCTTGGATGAAGACACAGGAGAAGAGCTAGACAGCCTTGGCAAACTTGCACCAACGTAAGTGCTGAGTTTCTGATGATTCTGTTCCATTTATCAAATGATTGTCTACCCCTTTTGTTTTAATGTCCTTGTGTTTCCTATGAAGTACTTGGAAATAATTAAACGCGTGTTACTTATCAATAACATATTGACTGTTGTTGTGTCTTCTTTGGCCCTAGATCAGGTAGACTTTCTCCAGAGTACTTGTTGTGGCTCTTTTAGATATTTTTACTTCACATAGAGGATTCCTAGGTTAGAAAGAAAACAGCTTAAGTGTTGCAAATCAATATGAATTTTTCAGGGATGGAGTGCATTGTTTTGTAACAGGCAGGGACAAGAATTTTGCATTATTTTGGTGTCCTGTAAGGAAGAGAATATACTTAGGTGGTTGTTTCCACTATTCTATTTGTTGAAGATTTAAAATGGAAATGAATAAAATAAGAGTGTTGAAAAGTTGGGTTTTGGGGAACAAGTGCTTTATTTAGGATGGTAGTCTTGAATTCTTGACGCATTTATGATATTTTGTCATATATAATGATCAATCTGTCCAGTACTTGTTATATCTAGTGCTTGCAGTTGCACTTTTTCTCATTATATAATTTATTAATCTTTAAGAACTTGCAATTTGGGTAGTTGTTAAGCCTCTTGTTTTGACAATTTGACAGAGTGGAGAAAGCAAAGCATGGATTTGGCATGAAAGTACCCAGAGCAGCTGCATAATCAAATTGTAGAAATAAAAATTCTATTAAGATTTGAGTAGGAGACCTACCTATGTTCTAATCCTTCCGCATATTTGGAACATTACGTCACGCCAGATCATGGGGAAATTTTTCATATGTTTGCAAGATTACTTGAAATTCTTGTCTGGTGCATGGCAAAGTCCAAGTGATTTTGCACATGACTTGCATTTAGATTATATAACGTGTAAAATTTTCATTCCTATATGATCAAGAAAAAACATTAAAATTTTTTGTGCTCGCAGTCTTGTACCTACTCCAGAATTTGATGTGGAAAACAATGTAATATACTCCTTGATCAGTTTATAAGGTATGTAGTTATGCATTTTTAATGAACCATGGAAGTTATATTTTAAAATGGCACAATAACAAGTAACAACAACAACTAAGCTTTACCGGACTAGGGTTGTCTAGATGGATCCATCCCCATCTCTAAATTCCATCAAAAACAAAATTTTAATAAAAATTGTTATGCTATCATGGATCTGGTTCTCCTAAATCTCACTTTGTTTTCTCCCCTTGTTATCATCCACCATAGGCCATTGCAATTTGCAAGTATGTTTTCACTGGGGTGAAAGTGGGCTGGGCTGGGTCAAGTTTTGCCCTGAAAAGTCCAAGCCTACGTCAAAATTTTTTAATTTGGCCTGGCCCAAGCCTAGTATGAGTCTATCTGTTAGCCTGGTTTGACCCGTTTATAAAAAAACAAATGGCCTGCCTTGGCCCGTTAGCCTGTTAATTTTTAACTTCCAAGCAGAACCATGAATCAACTCTACAAAGTACTCAAATTCTGTTGCTACATCAAAAATCATAATTTCAATGTCCAAACAGAATCATGAATCATAACAAAACTTATACAATATGCATTTAAGTCACTTTCAAAAGCAAAATGCTCAAACTAAATAACATATATTTCATCAGATCCAACAAACAAATCCTTATTATGTAAATTAAAATAACTATATGAATCCAACAAACACATCATGATGTTTGTAGTAAGTTTAACCTCTCCCAAAAATCTTTTAATATATTTATATACACAATTTAACATGTTGATATGTCGGTTCCTCCTATATAAGAAATAAAGTAAGATTTCTATTAAAATATAATCGAATATAATTAAGTTATAAATAATTGCAATTGATTAAATTTAACGGCTCTCAGATGAAGTGTCAAATTTCAAATTTGACACTGGTGTCAAAGGATCCTACCCCTCTCTCTCTATATATATATATGGGTTAAACATTTCTACAGTCATTTTAGATAACGTTGTCTACAACTATCCCTTTTTAACTAAGTCTAACCAGTAAGACATAAAAATTACATTTTCTATCCCGCAATGTCAGCCGACAATGCCTGAAGAGAGAGAAAAAAGAACAGTTTTATTTTATAACTATATGTCTCACTGGTCAGACTTAGTTAAAGAGGGGATAGCTGTAGATAATGTTATCCAAAGTGGTTGTAGAAATATTTTTCATATATATATATATATATATATATATATATATATATATATATATGGTTTACATTTCTGCAGCTGCTGTACGTGCAACAGTCAAATATTTGCCATATATACGTGAAAATATTAAATATGGGGAAACATAACCATACAAAAGATGAAAGCATTAGATGTGAAGAATCATAACCATACATCTGTCATTGTTGTACATAAAGCAGCTGTAGAAATAATTTTACCAAAACAGAGCTATGTATGGTAATGATCCCTTCAATTCAACTAGTGTCAATGTGAGAGCCTACACGGACTCTCCAAGTTTGATTAGATAGAATTCTTCTTCAAGCCTATTCTGAATTGCTCATATAGCCTTGTTTTAAAATAAATCAAACTCAATATACCGGTATGGGAACATTCTACCTAGTAGCGGAGCAAGTTGGTGCCAGTAGGTACCTTGGCACTGGTTAATTTAGCCACGTTTCAAGAGTAGATAAATAAACGTAGTAAATCATGTTTCAATTTTTTTTGAAAATTAGCCACATTTTGGACGTAGCTATATAACTGTAGCTATTTTGGCACCAGCTGAAATTTTTGACATTGGCTAAAATACTTTGCTGGCTCCGTCACTAATTCTACCTCATTAACTGGTTGTTGCCTATATATGGTAGGGCTATTTTTTTTTATAGAATTGAATGAAGGGGAAACATAAATTGTTTTAGTAACAGTTTAGATCCCAAAAATTAAGGTGATTGTACTTGGGATTATTTGACTTCATAATTTGATTTCAAGTTTGCATGTTATTATTTATTATAAGGGTTAAGTTGTGTCCTTTAAAAGTATACAAGTTGTGCCATTTTAGTTTTTTACATTATGTACAACGAGTAGTACATATTTATATTATGAAAAGTTTTTTTTTCACTTTCCACGTCAGTTGAAATGAATGGGGAGAGAGAAAAAAAGTAACTTTTCATATTATAACTATGTACTACTCGTATTATATAGTGTTAAAAATTAAAATGACACAACTTGCATCCTTTAAAAGGACAAACCTTTTTCCCTTATTATAAAGTATAAACAATAGAGAGATGATTTCTAATTGAATTTCTACCTGCTCATCAGACCTTGTTATGACCAAATTCACTATAGCGTTGAGAGAAATCAGGGCATAAAAGGAAGTTCTTCGATCTCAGGTAAAATGTGTTAGAAGTATTTTTTTTAATCTATTCCTGGTAGATATTGATCATAATGATGCATTTTAAAAGAGAAAATGGAAAAAGGAGGATCTTTTGTCCTCCTATCTATGTGTATTCTCCTTCTTTTACTGAATGAATTTGATAATATCTTCTTTTATCCAAAGAAGAATGAAAAAGCATAGAAGGACAATAATTAAGATCTAGTGCCAACACCATAGGTCAAAGGAAAAAACTTGCAGGCTAACTTCCATAATTACCTTAAAAGGGGCGTTTTTTATGGAGATTTTGTTTAGAATGATGGGGAAGTGGGATGGGGAATATTTTTTGTCCGTGTTTGGTATAAGCTATCGTGAATTATTGCCAGCAAAAAATTCTCCCATTAATCCCCATTTGCACTAAGCAGTGGAAAAAAACTATCCCCCCAGCCTATGGTATTTATTTTCCTCCGTGTAATCCAATTCTGATTGTAATGAATTCAGGTATGAAAATGCAGGGACAATGGCGGCTTGCAACATTGCTCCAGACTTTTGGGTGAAAAACGACTACTGTTGACGTTTGTAGATGCTGGGTTTAGAGCGCAAACGCGATGCTATACTTCAAGTCAGTGTGGACAGCGAAGGGAAAGGGATGGGTGGCCCGTTTGGTTGTGTGGATCAGTTTTGGACGGAATACAGGATGATAGTTGAGGGGAATGATCTTCGGAAAGAAGCCATCGAACTTGGAAAGAAGGACACAATACACAGTTAAAACGAACTTTTGATGTCAGAGCTACAATATTCAAAATTCATGGGTAAATTGGTAATTTATGGTAACTTTTCCTTCAATATTTTACAATCAACCAAACGCATCATCAGTAAAATTAAGCACATTTTTTCGGTAAAATTTTGACCTACCAAACAACTTTTCGTTACTTTCCGGGGCTAAATTATTTCCCACTATATTATCAGAAATCATTTTTTCTCGGGCAAAAAAATATATCTCTCATACCAAACGCCCCCTTAGCAGTTAGCTATTTGGAATTATTGTCCTAATTTTTCTACTTTTTTCCTTTGCCCATCAGTACTTAGCGACATTGTCTACTATACTGTTAACATGAATTGCTTCTTGCTTTCAGGTTGAGCATATGTTAAATGACAGATTGCTTCAGTTTGAGTAAGAAACTTCTGATTTTCAATTTTGCAGAGTTGTATCCATTATTTCCTTCCTTTTTAAGCACTTTTTTTAATGGACCTGTGATACTTCCTCTTATAGACTCTTGTTACATCATCCGAGTTCCTTGGTTGCCTGGGTTGATCATCATATAGCCAAGTATTCTTAACTCTTCCACGTGTTTCGATGTCACTCCCTTGGATATTGCCTCTTCCTCCATCTTACAAGTGACCTCATCTTTCATTTCTGGCCTCCATATTATTTCTCCTTTCCAGTCTGCCGAGATGTTCATTCTGGGTTATCCTATTCATTGTGTCTTCGAGTCTTCCATCCTGGCTAAGACTTACATTACCAACTCATCTATGACTCCTTTCGCCGACATGTCCTGTTGGGTTGGGGTTGTTTCTTCCCCACTCATTGTTTTGTTCAAGAGCCCTTTGTGGGGGACTTGATATCCTTAGATCATTCATGACCCGAGTCATGGCCTGTCTAGGATCTTGGTTCCTAGCGTGCAGTAATCTTGCTTCCAGATCCCGGATTCATTGCACAACCTCTTCTCGTTGAAGCTGGTCTCCATCTCTTCCATCCTTTTAAAGACTGCCGCGACAACAAGATCTGTAACACGCTGGTCTTGATTGACTTTAAATGGTATCTACAGAGCATTTGGGATCTATGCAACAAGTGGTTGCAATCCCTGCACATATGGCGCATTCTGATTCACCACTAGAGTTGAGGCCGAATCAGAATGCACATCACTGACAAGAACAACATTATGATTAGCCACTTGTTGATTCTAGGGACCATGTTGACCCACCGGATCCTCCTGTATCACCAGGTTTGGCCGTGGCTCAACATTTGGCAATTGTGGCTGTCGATAACCACTTCTGGTAGTGTGTACCATAATTTTCGTGGAATTTGAAATTTTTAATCGTCCCCACAGACGGCGCCAATATTCTGTCTATGTGATAGAGATGTCTATCCTAGGGTTAGTAGGTCAATATGAGATTTTGTGCTTTCTCTACGAATTAGATACCTTGGGGGTAGTGAATCACCGTACACAACAACTATAATGTTTTAGCCAATGATGTATTGTGTGTGCACAGTGACAACATAATAATAAGAGAGAGATTAATCTATACTTGTGATCTTTACCCCTTATTTATAGTGTTTATCTTAGGATTTTAACAATCTGAACCCTTTCTTAATGGCCCAATCATCTTCTTGTAGGCTATCAAATGTCTATCCTTTATTGAGCCGCTTTGGGCATATAGCCTTATGCAAGTTCATACCAGATATGTACATGTCAAAAGACTATGATAACTCGATTTAAAATGAATTGAAATTTAAACAAAAATAAAATAAAGATGTTGATAAAAAGATTTTTCGAAGAACGATTTTTTTTTTTAGAGCCAACAAAAAGAAAAAGAAAACATAAAACTAATAATAATAAAAAAAATAACATAACATAACATG